AAGTTACCTCAAACAGTTTGTCAGCTTGTTTTCTTTGCCTTCCAGGTCTGCCGCCCGGTGTCGATCACGAAGTGGTGGATTGGTGGAGCCTAATGATAGGGGCAGGACATAACATGAGGGGGGAGAGTCTAGTGCAGCACACCCTGCCAATGTGCCTCTATCTACAGAGCGCCAGGGCGCTGTACACCCCATGCACCCTTCCAGGATCGGTTCTGGTTACATCCTGTGAGGAAGCAGTTTAACCTCTTGTATCTGTTTTTAGAGCATATCAATTGATATCTAAGAATATTTTTTATGAATGCCATTTAAATAATTTATATTTTACACTATATTGGTACCGAATATATGTGCTTTGGAATAACATTGCAGTATATGTTTAGTTTTATATTATGTAGTTTTAGTTGTTATTCGATGGCTGTGGATGGGAGTGATCGGGGTGGTGATTTACGTTTTAGATTGAACGTAGAGCCATTTGCTTTACTTATTTATCTATTTATGGCTAAAGTGAGAATTCTAAGTTGATTCAAAGTGAATATCAAATTTAGGGCGAAAGTAGCCAAACTGAGAGCATGGTTGGCCAGCTTGGATACTTTGGCCTTACATTTGATTCCTGACAATTCTGAATTTAGTAAGTAACCCTGTCAGCTTTTATTTTTATATAAGATCAAAATAAACAAAGTGATTCAATACGGTGTGAATTACTGAGGGGTGAATTGCCAAAGTTAACTTAAAATTATAGGTCGAAATAGCTGAAATGAAACATAGCTCATTTGTGGAATTTTAAAATTTTTGGCTATTTTTGCCCAGTATTTGAAAATTTAATTTCATTCCTTGTTGACCAATCTTCAGGACAGCATTATTTCATGGTAGAAATGTGTTGGATTGGTTTTTGAACTCGAAGAGTAAATGCCCAACGCACTTCATGTAATAAATTTGTAGCGGATCTCTGTTTCCTACTGCTGTGTTTGATTTTCTGGAAATTTTGTTTCTGGAAATGTATGAAGTACATCAAGACACGGGATACTGTTTAATATTTTAGTATTTGTTGTCACCCTCTATATGCCTGCAAAGGATGATCCAAATTATTTCTTCTAAATCCTCATAAATGTATGTACTAGCTATATATCCCGTATTTCAAATAAATTTAATTTTTATCTTTTTAAGTGAGTTGAGTCAAATCAATAAACTGTTGTGAGTGAGTTGATACTGAGCAAAAACTGTTGACATGAGTTTTTGCACTTTAGACAGCATCTGTCAGAAAAACTATCCACTTTGGATACATATCATAGGAGTCAAAAGAGCACTTCGTGGCTCGCCGAATTTATCCAATCCATGTGCTAAAAATAAACACAAATACTCTTCTACGTACAGCAATTTACCATATTGTAAGCTGAGCAAACAGAGTCAGTGACAATTTAATTAAAAGTTATAACTGCATTTCCTTCGGACAGGAAATCCATAGTTTTTTGTCATGGAATAGACTCAATCATGAAAAAAATAAGTAATTTATCTAACTATTTAATGGCAATTAGTTTCAAGCATGATTTGAAATCAAATTATTTTAGCATCTTATAATGAACTTTCTTGAACCTCTTCCACTTACTTAATTAAAATAGATACACATAAGCATGCAAGTTAATCTGTTTTCTAATTCTTGATGATTAACATGCATTAAGAGTTTTCTTGATTTGGTGAGTGTTGAAAAACAATTTTTTAAGATTTATACTTCGATTAATACCTTTATAAATTATTCTAGCATGTCGTCTAACTGGTTATAATATGACAAAAAAATAAGAGGTGGTCTAAGTGTTTGCCCAAAACAAGGCTAATAGGATAAAAAGTAATTGGAAAAGCTTTCTCTAAATAATTGCTAAATTAAAGTATATAAGTTTGATAGTACATTTATAAAGGGCATAGGTTTGCACATTTATATATATATAAAAAGAAAACATGATTTATTCACAAATTACATTTTATTTTATTATTAAAACAAACAATTATTTCTTTAAAAATAACCTCATAGGGGGCAGGGCCTGGCCACGGAACTGAGAGGACGTTAGCCTCATGAGCTCCTGCACTAAGCCTCGTAAACAACGGTCTCACACGACCCAAACGGCGACTAATTGTGCCACTTAGGCCAGCAAACGTGAGGTGACACTAAGCGGAGCATAAGGACACCCCTTAAGCGACAATATGAGAACTACCCACCCAACAAGCGCCTGAGGCCTACTCACATGGCGGGCGCGGGAGGGACGGCCACTCTCCTGCCACCACAGCTAGCAGCCTCTGTGTATACTAGCCCTCGTTCCCCCCCCTATGGACTGGCAGGGGTCATCTCGGGCCACCTGCCCACTGGGAGCACTCACCTTTGGGACGCTTGGGAGCCTGGCTCCGGCCGATGGGATGCACGAGGCCCAGCCAAGATGGCCGACGGCAGTGCAGCTCACCCAGAACAACAGAAAACTTGTGACTGGGCAGCAGCCTTTCGGGCCAAATTTGACGCCATATGCAGGCGATTCTGGGAGTGACTGGAAGAGAGGAATCAACCTCCTGCTCCAACAACAGCTAAACCAGCATCTCCACAACCTGCGCCCCCTCATACCCAGCAATGGCACCCAGACGCACCCACAACACAGCAGATTGCGGCTCTGCGGAGACCTCACCGACCACAAGGCCGCCCGCACACGCGGCTCCAACACGCTTCAGCAAGCAGGCAGCACAGAGGGAACCGCCAAGAGGCAACGTAGAGGCTGCCAAAGGGCAAAAATCACCCAAAGCCAATGAGCAGGGCCCAAGCAAATGCAATCCTGACTCGACAGGCCTGAAGGGCCGGGGTATGCCACTACCCACCCAGCTCCCAGGCGACAGCCCACCACGTTGGCCCGGGCCTGAGACACCACAACTCATATATATATATATGAAGCCCAGTACCTGCCGCAGGTCAGCGAGAGGGCGCAAAGGGACACCACCACACATCCTGACCATGAGCTGTGCCAACCAAACCCTGGAGTCGGTTGAAACTCCAAGCGGAGACACCAGGAGGTCCACACAGAGACTGGCTCCTGCGACCCCTGCAGAACTAATATTGTTTTAATGCATGATGTTTCTGTTGCTCTATTATTTCTTTTCTTCTTTTTTGTACATGGTTTAGAGTATCAAATTGCATCTGGGCGCAGTAACGGTGGCAATCTTCGTTGCCCACAGGAGGCTCAGTCAATAACAGGCAACATACATTGAATCTCTTTACCCAGTGGGCAGGATACATCACATTAACATAGCTACGTGCCTAGCTTATTTTAACTCTCTAACTAGTTCATATAATCAGCATGTTTTCCCAAGCATATCCTAACTGTGCAGACACATGTACCTAACATGACATACTACAGTTTGAAATGTGTTGCGCAGCAAAACATACCAGGCTATACGTATATAAATGTACATTTTTTAACTGCTCCTCCACTTTTTCCCTCTACTTGTTTATTTTTATAACTTCAACACGCTTCAGCAAGCAGGCAGCACAGAGGGAACCACCAAGTGGCAACATAGAGGCTGCCAAAGGGCAAAAATCGCCCAAAGCCAACGAGCAGGGCCCAAGCAAATGCATTCCGGACACCCCAGAGAACACCCCACGGATCTGCCACAACCCAAACAAGGTACCCAAACCACAACAGAGCAAGACACAGACAAAGAGACGGGGGTCTGCAGAAGTCTCCAACCCCTCACACAGCCTATCCCGACTCGACATGCCTGAAGGGCCGGGGTATGCCACTACCCACCCAGCTCCCAGGCGACAGCCCACCACGTTGGCCCGGGCCTGAGACACCACAAGTGCGAACCAAATGATGGCAAACCATGCCTTTGTGTACTGCAATTATATAGATAACGGCAGCTATGATACATCTGATCACAGGAGCAAGCCTCCCTGTAAAACAAGAATCTATGCTGTTCCTTCTATGTCCACTTCCTCTAGCCAAACCCAAACGCACAGTGAAATATCACCTGCTTATGGCAGCGAACATACTCATCCCAATAAAATGGAAAAACCTGACAGCCCCATTAATTAGGGAATGGATACAAAAGGGAGAGTCTATTAGACTCAAGGAAGAAATTACCCACTCTCTTTCGCACACATACACCCAATACACCACTACATGGGACCTATGGCGAAAATTCCTGTAAACTCTAATTAACTCTCAATGAAAACTTAGAGCGCTCACGACCTTCTTACATCTACCTCCAAGCTGGCCACATACCACAGGTAAATACCATTACCCCACCTGAGTTTCACACAGACATTGGGACATGCTCCACTACGAACATACACCGACATGTATACAATAATATCCACTAATCTCACATTGGATTGTGCCTATATTCCATGAGTTGCGGTAAATGAGTTTTACAGCCATAACAGAGGACCCCTAAGTAGCCCCACCCATGATCCTATTCCCCATTATCCTACCCTCATCTTATCCACCATTCATTTACCCAGCAGGGACACGCCTCTAAACAAGCAGTTCGAACCTCAGGTGAACGCAATAATCCATTATCCATAGGCTGGGCCCTAATAGAGGTAGTAAATGGGCCCAACACCCTCTCTAGTTTTCATCCCCAATCCAGTGTTCCCCTATAGTGATGAATACCATGGATACCTGCTTTGTCGGTTGTTTGTGGTCGAGGTCACGGCACCCTGCTCACAAAGGAGCCTTGAACCATAAACTCCTTAACACTCCTATAAGGTGGAAACATGGGGCATGATCGTTAAACTCTTTGATTGAACTGTGTGTATTCAAACTGTATACCAATTATATGATACTATGGAATCTTGTGAATATTTCACCACTGAATGTTGTACTCAGTTGATGCCGCCTGCACATTCTTTGTAACCCTGGAACTGCTTGAATAAAGAATAATAAAAATAAATAAAAAAAATAAAAAATATATATACATAACATTTATATTGTGTATATATTTTACAGTACACTTATTGGCCCATTTTTTTTTAATTCTTTATTTTTGTTGTGCATATGGTCACAATATAACAACAAATGCCACAGCAGCGTGTTCCAAGTTTCATACAAGTTAGTCAGTGGCATGACAATTTACACAATTTTTATATTTAACATGCTTAACTAAACAATTATTATGTCTGTGTAGGATTAAATTAAATAAAATGAAAGAAAATAAAATGAAAGAAAAGAAAGAAAATGAAAGAAAATTAAGACAAAGATGCTAGGTGTTAAATACTGCTAGGTCACCTATGTTATGGTGTATGTAGTGTACCATTTTTTATTTTATTTTTTTTTTAAATAAAGCATGCATAACATAACAATATAAGTATTAAAGTACATCTAATACCTCAAATTCACATCAAGAGTGTATAAAGAGTGCTTATTTTTATATTCTGGAGATAGATAATCTGGTCACCTTCATGAAGTCAATACCATTGATAGAGTACATAGAATTGGTCAACATAGAGAAAAATGACAACAATCAAGTTTCTGCTGTTTGGAATACGACAGGAACTTAGGTCTCCCATCCCAGTTTAGTCATATTCTCGAAATATTGCTAGATTCTAGTGATTACATACAGATTCGAGAAATGGTGGTACTAAGCAATAATCGGTAGTCCCATTAAGGAACACGGGAATCGTTCGGGGGAAGGAAGAGTGAGCAGTAGTGTGGTGGTAGTGTTGCAACAGTTGTGACATAATTTGTTCAGTTTCGAGGCAGTGAGTTGTATGTTTGAGATTGAGATAGCCCCTGTGTCTAAGTGTGCTAAGGACTTATTGGGGGAGTATTGTGGTATTAGGTTGTTTAGGAGTTAAGGAATGAGATCCAAGGTTCCCAGATTTTGGAATATGTTTGGAAGTTTTTAGATTTAGCGTGTGTTATCTCTTCCATCTGTCTAATTCCCTCCACTCTCCCTATCCATTCATTAATAGAGGGTGATTGAGGTTGTTTCCAATATTTAGGGATCCATTGTGAGAATGCCATAGTTAGAAAGTTGAAGAGAGCCACCTGTTCCTTACGTCGGCCTCCTGGTGGAAGAAGGAAGATGTAGTTGTAGTTGAGGATTGAAGGGGATTTTACTTCCAATGATTGTTTGGTTAAGGGTATGTATTCTATTTCAGAATTTCTCTATTATAGGGCATTGCCACCAGATGTGCGAATGATTAGCTACCTCGTGTTGACATCTCCAGCATGTTTCTGTGGATGTACTATATATTTTGTGTATTTTCATTGGTGTGTAGTGCCAGCGGGTGATCTGTTTATAGTTACTTTATTGAGCTATGGTAGAAGTGGTTGATTTGTGGGCTACTCGGAAAATAGTGTTCCAATCTTGTTGTGAGAGGTCTACTTGTAGTTCTTCTGCCCATTGTATGATGCTCTTCCCTAGTTAAATTGTACATGGTGGAAAGTAATTTTTTGGTGAGAGGATGTGTGTCGCATAGTTGCTCGAATTTAGACAGGTCTCGTGTTCTCCTTGTTATGAGATCTTGGCTTTTGGTAAAGTGTGTTAATTGATTATACTGGAGTCTTTGATTGCCTGTCGGTATGGAGCCTCACACGCTGAAGCCACAACTTGGATGGATCTTAGATGGAAAAGGAGAAAGTTTATAGCTTTGCAAAGCAGCGGCGCTGCTTATAAATTACTCTGAAAAGAGAGATGAAAGGCAGGGTAGTCTCTGCGCCAACCTTTTGTAATGATCCAAAGTTGTTCAGATGTTTAGAGTGTTCCTTTAATTTATACATGATGACATTACATATTTTTGAAAGTGTCATTATTAAATTTTCACGTGACAGGTACAAAATGGGGGATATTTATCTGCAAAGTGACAATTAAGTTCCGTCTTTATTTGGATCATATTAAAGAGTTCTAAAAGTGATCTAAAAATCATTGGTTTTCTTTATAGAATATTCTTCCTGGTTTCGCATAAGTTACCTTTTTTATATTCAAATATAAGGGTTACGGTGCAAAAAAAACAACAAAACAGTGGAAAAATTGATGTAATAAGATGCGCCAAAGAAATTGAGGAAATTTAGATTTAAATACTCTGCTAAGTCTACCCTATTGTATCAGTAACTATATATTCTGATAGGATAAACTATAAAAGTTAGATATGGTAACAGTGAATTTCCGGTCACAGACATATCTACATTAAATAACTACAAGTGAGAATGCAAGGCTTAAATATATTTAGCTATAGTCTCTGGATTCACATCTGAACAGCTTCTAATTAGTGCTGTGCAATTAATAATTCACACTTTAGAAACTGACTACTACGTGTTTAGTCTACTTTGACCCAAGTAACCATTAATACTTCTTTCAAAAAGCCAAGCAAATAAATTATTGCAAGAGTTAGCATGTTGTTCTAAGCAGAATTTTATCATTAGTTAATCAGCAGAGACAGGCAGATAGAGCAAACACAGAATGCTAACGATTTGTACCTTGATTCCACAGGGTCCATTAGATCTGTTTGTTGATCGATAAAGTTATTTTGTTTTAATTGATTTGACTCAAGTCATTCACTACTGCATTATTTTATTTAAAAAAAAAAATACATTCATTTGAAATACGAGATATATAGCTAGTACGTACATTTTGGAGGATTTCGAAGAAAAAAATTGCTCATCCTTTGCAATGCCTGACAAAAAATAATAAAATATTAAACAGTATCCCGTGTCTTGATATACTTCATACATTTACAGAAACAAAATGACATGGAATCAGAATTACGATTTTTGTAGCATACAACTCTTAGTACAAACGTATAATAAAGATGGTCAAGAATGTTGGCATGGAATTCTCAAATATGTTTTATTTAGATTCCCAAAACACCAACAGAATTAAACATTTACCAGTAGGTACACATAATACACAGTAATTACTAGACTTATGCTGATAAACCACTATGTCCTGAAATGTTTTTTTCGAGGTGCACTAATTTTGGCCATATGGTGGTTTGGCTTGTCTCAATTACATTAAGGAAAAAAAAGATTTGGGAGAACAAATCAGAGAAGCCAAAAGGGCACAAAAATGGGCCAATAAGGGGGAGCGTGGCCAACCACGGAGTTAAATGGATACACATTAACATTTATATGTTAATATAAAAAAAAACCTTCTGTTAGATAATCGGCTCTGATGAACTATATTAACCTGCATACCAAATTCACCCTTTTAAAGTCACAGGACAAGACATACAAGACATACAAATACATAACTACTTATGGTACTGCACACAGGTATGCAACACTTTGCAACACTCTGAATAATACCTCTGTTTATATAAATGCTAACAATCTACGTAATAATCTAAACACCCCATAGTAAAAGTAAATATAGCAAGTTGCACCCTCCAGACATATCCCAATTTTCAATGCACTCATGCCAAAACAGCAGTACCACATAAAGAGTTCCAGAGACCGCTCTCTTACTCCACTCCACCTCCTCCCCCTCTCCCTCCCCCCCAGACTATCTTCAAGAGATCATCTATTATTTACCAACTGAATGACCAACGACTCTCCTAAAGGAAAAATACCGATACTTAGGATTCCCAAGTCCCAGGGACTCAAAAACCAGCCACACTTCCCCGATTTACATAGGGTTCTATTTTTGCGTCCGGATAGACTATCCTTTCTCCTCGATTTAAAGAGGTAACCTTCACCACACTACTCCCATTAGAGATTCCCACCCTTCTTCAGCAAAATTTTGTAAAATTACCAAATATAAGGGTTTTTCCATGTTCCCGGGGGAAGGTATATAAAAAGAAATATAAACGACATGTCTTGTAATAAAATTCACAGTTCTGTAAGTAACCATTTGAATGTGCCTTCTTTCCCTTTTATGTATTTATTATTAATTTGTCTCTTCAGCGGCTGAGCAAGCCTCTAATTTACAAGCTGTTTTTTGAATTATAGTATGACATTGGCAGGAAGAGAGACTTCACGTTTCCACTAGAAACACAATAAATCTGTTTTATTGAGACATTGGTACAATAACGTATATGGAAGAGCTTATTTGAAAAATACAAATGCATTTCTAAAATTGTATATTTGAAAAGTAACTTTCTTAATACTGTTATTTCTCCCGGAAACCTGTTTTTATATGTCAGCTATTTTTTTTATGTTTCATCTGTGTGTTTTCTTGTTACTGACCATGATGTGCTATCTAGCTACATTCTTACTGGTTAGAAACAAGAGTAAGCCAATCAGAATATAATTCCTATTTCTGACATGTCAGTTAATTTGTATCTGTTTCACACACTAGCTAAAACCGCCTGCTTTCTCTAAAATTCAGAGCCTTGGCACTAGTAAAATATAGAACACCATATTTGTTTGATATAAAAGTGTTTTTTTAATTTGTTTTTTTATGTGTGTGTTACTGGCCCTTTAAGTAGAAATCTACGCTCACATATTAAAAAATTACAAGTAACTGCACTCTAGTCAGTGGTTTCAATATTAATAGTGTGTATATGACTATTATCACAAAACTATTGAATCCCCTGATCTATTATCCTTTAAGTACTATTGTAGCATAAAAATATTGGGTCAATTATCACCATATTGAATTGAATGCATCGAGAAGTGACAAAACAAAATACACTTCCATCCTAAAAAATAAAGAGTATATAAATATTATTATTATTATTATTATTATTATGTTATATATATAGTGCCATCAAATTCCGCAGGGCTTTACAATGGGTGGACGAACAGACATGTAGTTGTAACCAGACAAGTTGGACACACAGGAACAGAGGGGTTGAGGGCCCTGCTCAATGAGCTTAAATGCTAGAGGGAGTGGGGTAAAATGACACAAAAGGTAAGGATAGTATTAGACTAGTGACAGTTGCAAAAGAGGAATCAGTCAGGAGCTATTAACAGTTTAATTGATACGCTTTTATGAAGAAGTGGGTTTTTAACGATTTTTTGAAGGAGTGGAGACTGGGTGATCATCTAATGGAGGAGGGAAGGTAACTAGTGAAGAAATTCAAGGCTCTTTAAACAGCGCTATTTCGGAAATTGTGTAATTAAAATTAACACTTTACTGGGAGAGAAAAGTCAAGGGCCACGTGGAAATCTCTTTAAAATGCAGCTCAATGCTATATGGGCAGCTGCCACCAACAGGCTAGTTACTAAAGTCAGTGTCACACCTGCTGCATACTAAATAAAAATTGCAACAATGCACAATCAAACAGGTAAGATAGGTAAAGGTAGTCATTGTTTCTCTACCTGTATTAATCCAATACAAAACCTCAGTTTGTACTAAATGGGCCAAGAGAAATAAATTAACATTCCCCAGCAAACTAACTAGCTTTGCATCTGGCATTCAATAGGTTAACGTGATATAGTCTTAAAGGGGACCTGACACCTATAAACGTTACATCGGTAATCGAACATTGAGGGTATTGGTGCCTATACCTTTCCGAGCTAGGGGCTTGTTGTGTGATAAAATGGTCACTCGTACTTAAAGAAAGCAATTACAAATTGTAAGCTTTACTGTTAGAAATTTAAATATATATGCACATAAATGTATTAATGCTACACTATGTTCTTTCCTCCGGATATGAAAGAGATTCTTTGCTTTAGATTAAGTTGGTGCTACAATACCCAGCCCACCTGCCCCACCTACTGGTAGAAAATAAGTAAAGTTCTGAAGCTGCCGTCGTTCATTCACAACTGTGTATGTATAGTACTGCAGTTATTCCTAAATATTTTTTTAGGACACATAGAGTCATTGGTAAATTCTTATTTTTTTCATCATGTAGCTGACCAGGGAGACATAAATATAGATTTCTATCACTGCGCAATAGTACATATTTGTGTGTGATTTAATTTAAAAAGGAAAAAAAAAAGGGGGCGGAGCCTTACTGTTGAGCAGATCAGACGTGCTCAACATGAGCTCACGAATCTGGTGTCGAAAATCGGGGTTCACTGCCTGACAACTTGTTCCTGCAGACCGGAGCTTCCCTAATTCCCTTATTGCCCGGAGGAGGTTACTGAACCCAGAGATACCCTGCAAGGGCCACTTTAACCCTTGACCACACACCAGAGGCTTGTGGCCTAGACGAGAATAGGCCTAGGAGAGACAGGTACTCTCCTGGCTCTAATACAAACAGATTACCTAGTGTATTGTTATCCCCCTCCCCCCCTTTGAACCGGTGGGGGTTATCCCAGTCCCCACTGCACGTCCCCACTCACTTCTGTCACTCACAGATGGCAGACACTGCATGGGTTAAGACCACCACACTCCAATTCAATATGGAGGACAGGCCTCCCTCAGCCGAGCAACGACTATCACCAGCTGCACCAGGCCCACAAGTCAGCTTGGAGCAAAGCTTGGACAAGCTTTTTAACCGCTTCTGGGCACAATTGGAAGCACGGACCAGGATGGCACCGGCTCAAGGTGAGGAGGAAGCACGAAGAGGAGATGGGCAAAGGGCTCATGTAACCCCTTTGTGGGCAAGCATCCAACAAGCCACTCACAAGCATGGCCACCGATGCCGAGGGCCACCCGGGGAAATCACCCGCTGCATAAACCACGAAGGCAGGCAACCCCTCGCCACAAGCGGCGCCAAACACCCAGGAGACTCTGTCACATCTCCTCAAGGAAGGACTTGGACTCTGTCACAAGCCCCCGAGTCCGTGGTGTCATAATGCAGGCCCATAACAAGGCCTGGGGCTGGAAGGTAACCACACAATGCCCTTGCTCAGCAATACCTCAACACTGCACTTACCTGTTTCCAAGTCTCGGCGTGGGCTGAGTGTGACTACCTGGGTCTGGGACTGACAACACGATGCATGTCATTGAGACATCCTGCCGACAAGATCCTGTCTTACCATTGAAATGGCTGTCTTTTGCACAGTTTACCAACGCCTATGATTATTAGAGCTTACCTAGCACAGTTCTCTACAGTCGGTACATGTGGGGACACAGTGGTTATTTTATCTTGTTTACCTAGCGTGGGGCACCACATACACTATTAATTAAGCACAGTTACAACACTACTATAACGCTTAGCCAGACAATCAACGCACAGTGTCACATGATGCCCGATTTACCCTGAGATTGCTTATAACTATTACTTACTCGTGTGTACTGACTACTGCTGACCAGTTAGCTTCGCTTAAGCGTTACCACAGTACCTAATGCATGACCTAACTAGTTACTTTCATTATGATTTTCCCTTGTTCACTTCACTTGTTTAAATCTTCAAAAGAAGTGCTTACTATGTATTGTATTTTTGTTATATATCTTTTTAGCCATATCTACTCATGTAGTAATGTCCACTAATGCTTGTCTGACTTTCAATGCACTACGAAAAAATAAAGAATGTCCAAAAGAAAAAGTCTATAAACAAAGATTATATTTCATTTTAGAAGATTAATAAACATAGCATATAGCGTTTTGGTTTTCAATGTCTAGATTTTTGCGACCAAATGCCCATAGATTATTTTTGATGATTATATGGACTGTGGATATTTGGACTTAGTGAATTACTGTGTTGGTCTAAAATTTGGAAATTCATTGTAAGCCCCTCACTAATATTACAATGCCTTTGTCCAGCTATTCATTTTCAAATAATTGAGAACCAGAAAAGGAATAAAGTAAGTAATTAATCTTAATATACAAAAGTGTAAAATACCTTCTATGTCTTATGCATTTTATAGCAGTATCAACATATTTTTTGCATAATGCCCACATTGCCCAGTATGTATGAACGATTTTACAGTACATACCTCCCAACCTCTAATTATGTAAATCTTTTATACATTAGTAGCCTAGCGGCAAGTACTTTACTCAGCATTACGATAGTTTGTGCTGATATTTTGTTAATGTATTCTAATTCTCTGGAAAGAGAAGAATAATTGTTGAAATGCATAGTAATTTGACCAGAGTCTGAAATTAATCAATGCTGGCTGTTTATTGCGATTTAATGTTTATACTAATGGAATTTAGATATTCCAATATATTCCAGTGAGGCATATATTAATAAATCGCTAAAAAAGGATTATATTAATTGATCTTCATAGTTTTACTTACTAGTTTTTCGCAATTTGTGTAACTGTCATTTATTAATGAAATGTAATTTTAAGTTGTCTATTTCGCTTGGCTGTTTAAATCATTTTAGAGATTGTCTGACATAACATTTTTAATGCCACTTGTCATAGCAACGCAAACACTAGTTAGTGAATAAACCCTTTAATCTAAAAAGGGATTTGTTTTAGAGGAATTTGATTCAAGTACAGGTTTGGCACTATCGTGGCAGATGGCAATTAATCTGGATAAATGCAATGTTTTGCATTTTGGGACAATCACAACACAAGTAATTTATACCCCAAATGGTACTGAGTTAGAAACAATACATGAGAAGGACTTGGGAATAGTTATAGTCAAGAAAATAAACAGCAACATGCAATGTCAGCGGTTGCTACTGTCAGTACGGTATAAAAAGGATTTCAATTCACTGTAAATATAATTTTGCCTCATTATAAATAAATGGTAATTTTACCTCAATATGTGTACAAATATATGGGACAGTTTGGGAAGAGTTTGCCTCATTATGAATAAAATATATATGAAAGTTTGGGCACCACTGACAACTTTACTTATTTTGTTTATTTTCTAAGTGAAAAGGTTAAGACGACCTCTGCAGAACAAATACAAACTCAACACAATTCTGCAATTCATAAAGCAGAGTTATTATTTGCTGAATTTCACTGACGGAAAAAAATAAAACAGAAAATGTCCATGAGTAAAAGTTTATGCACCCTTTCAACCCAATACATTAGTGATTACCTTTACAAAGTTGAGATGCCTAGGACAGACTTAGTCATTCTAAGACTAGAGAATTTTTCTTTTTGGCTTAACTTTAGGTTGTTACCTTCTGCCTCATGTGAGTTCAGCCTCTCTTCCTTGGGAAGCTGCAGATTCTTCTTCAAGCAAAGGTGTGTCCCCGAAGATACCCCTTTAGTGATATATACATATATCCCCTTCTACCCTTTACTTTTACAAAGTTGGGATGCCTTTCTTCCTGGTCTATTTTTAAGTAAGTGATCATTCAAATTACCTCTACCAAGGAGGTTCTAGAGTTCCTCAATCCGGGATTCATCTCGGACTTAGCTACATCACCTCAGAGGTACATGTCTCAGCACTCTCTGATCTCTAGATTCCTAAAGATTTTGATATGGAGGTATGTAAATATATGTCAGCTGTATTTATATGATCCCTCAGCTAATCATTGCTCCCCGTGGGATCTTTCCCTGGATTTTAAGAGCTCTGAAATCTTTATCCTGTTAACCATGAGACTCTATCTTTCCACAGTTGCTTAATATTAGGTTAGCCCTACCGGTGACATTAGCATCGAGCAGAAGGATATCAGATCTTCAAGCACTATTTTGCATAGAACCCTCTACTGTTTCACAAAATAGAATAATCCTCAAATCTGTTCCTGGATTTAGTCCAGCTCTAAAGTTTATTAGTTAAAATGAAGACTCAGAAAGGAAATTTTCTCCTCTTGTCCTAGATCGATGTCTTAGGATCTATTTCTATAGATCTGCAATCTGTCGTTTTTCTGATATTTTGTTTTTTTCTTAATGGACCAGGAAAGGTCTTCAAGCCTCTATATAAGCCATCAGCAGATGTATAGTCAAGCTATTTCCAGGCTACTAAGTCCTAAGGTACAATGTCCTTATGATTTGTGTGTATGTCATCACTTTGCTTTCGTTACATGTCGTTACTTTGAATCCATAATTTGAAAGTCTTACCGTAATTTTCTTTTCTTGGTGATAGGTCTTGGTGACAAATGTCCTGCCCTGGGATATTGCTGGAAACAAGATTGGGGGATGGAGGTTAGAATAGAGCTGGCTAATACCTTTTGTTTTAATAAGATTCCTGTCTAATTAGGGATTGGGAGGAGCGACCCATTGTATCTAACAAAAATAAAGCCAACATGGAAAAGTCATGGAAAAACTAAGTACACCCTTACTGTTTCCATAGGAATTAAGAGGCTATGTAGCAGACAGGTGCAGCTAATAAAATGTCATTCATTCATTAATCATCAGCATCTATGACTACCTCCATAAAAGCCAAGGTTTTAGCAGTTTGCTGGTCAGGAGCATTCAGGTGATCAGCAATGGTCTTAAAGAAGCAATAGTTATTGCCCATCAACCTGGGAAGGGTTATAAGGTCATTTCCAAACAATTTAAAGTCTAACATTCTACAGTGAAGGGGGGAGTATTCAAAAGTGGAAAACATTCAAGACAGTTGTCAATCTTCCCATGATAGGACGTGCCAGCAAATTCACCCCATGGTCAGACAATGCAATGCGCAGGGAAATTGCATAAAATCCAAGAGTTACATTTCAGACTCTACAGGTCTCAGTTAACAAGGTAAATGTTAAAGTTCTTGACAGTGCAATTAGAAAAAGACTGAACATGTATGGTTTATTTGGATTGGTTACCAGGAAAAAGACTATTCTCTCTAAAAAGAACATGGCAGCATGTGAATTACTGAGTTGGTCTAAAATTTGGAAATTCATTTTAATCCCCTCTCTAATATTACAATGCCTTTGTCCAGCTATTCATCATCAAATCATTAATAACCAGAATAGGAATAAATTGAGTCATTAATCTTATATATACAAAAGTGTAAAATACTTTCTATGTCTTATGCATTTTATAGCAGTATCGACATATTTTTATCAGAATGCCCAGTATGTATGAATGATTTTATCTACATAATTCACAACCTCTAGTTACGTAAATGTCTTATACATTCAGTAGCCCAGCGGCAAGCACTTTTCTCAGCATTACGATAATAGGAGAAAGTATGTATTCTAATTCCATGGAAGGAGAAGAATAATTGTGGAAATGCATAGTAATTTGACGAGAGTCTGAAATGAATCAATGCTGGCTGTTTATTGCGCTTTAATGTTTATACTAATGGAATTTAGATATTCCAGTATAATGTGAGGCATATATTAATAAATAGTAAGGGTGAAAGAAAGATAAGGTTAAAAGGTTAGAAACAAGGTGCTACAATCAATAATGTGTCACTTTATCACATAAAGAGTGAATAAAACAATTAAGAGTAGATGGTGAGAACACTCTAATTAATATTGCACATTACCCTTATTGCACACGTTGAATACTGGTAAACAATATTTAGGCCAATCCGTAATTCACAATTTGATCAATGGCATATGTGCCCGTTAAACCAATCCTGTAAAATTAACACAGGGAGAGCCACAACATAGGGTAATAACGTAGGGATTGCTGTGTAACTTAACATTTTAAAAAGTTACACTCACATGGTCATGAGCCACTTAATAAAAGCTGGCTCAGACTAGAAGCAAATCAGGTGAAAGCACGTGGATGTCAGGTTCCAAGCTGTCGCCCTTCTGTGGTCATTCAAGTTGTTTGTTGCTTAAGAATATTCCAGGATGCAGAATATCATGCAAACAATTTTATTGACACACTAAAAGGTAGCTAATAAAAATAAGTATAATAAAATATACACCTCTGTAAAGTCCACTTGTGCTATAGATTGAACTTGACGCGTTTCGGCGATGCCTTTATCAAACGTTCCTCCTTCACCTTTTCTTCTAACTGTTTAAATATCCCAGGTATTGGCGCCTTTTACCGTTACGTCATGACATCATGACGCCTACGCTCACACTTCCGGCACCGTAATTACATCCTTCTATGGTGTTTACTTTGGTGGCTTCCGTCTCTGTTCTATGACGACATGGCGCTATCTCCATTCAAGCATCATGACGTACATTCTGAGGGGACGGATCTCCCTCTAATCGCATAACAACTGCCCTTAAAAAATATGTCTCTTCAAACATCCAAAATGGGCAAACCCTATCCCTTAACACAATTAATACATATTAACTGTATATTCATCATTAATCTTAAAAAGAAAGTTAACATTAATGGAGAAAAAAAGAGAGAAAAAACATATATTAAATTTTTTTATTTTTTTTTTAAATAAAAGACTGTTTAATCCAATTAAAAAATGAAATGAAATGGAGTTTAAAATCAACCCTTAAAATGGACTAATTGTCCATAATAGAGACACGTACAGATTCTAAAAATATGATTTAAAAAAATATATTAATATAATTAAAAAAATATATATAATAATTAAGACTTTATAAAATCAATATATAGAGAGAAAAAAAATATATAAATATAATAAAAATTCTAATGGAGATAAAAATTATATATAAGGGGTAATTTCGAAATCAACATTTAGACCTTGTGGTATTAAGGTATCCATGTTGAAAATCCACTTCATTTCGGTTCTATTAAGTAAATTTTCTTTATCCCCTCCTCTCCAATGTACTTTTATTCTCTCTATGCCCACAAATTCTAAATTTTTTGGATCACTATTATGGCATTCCATAAAATGTTTAGAAACACTGTGATTAACAAAATTACGATTAATATTATAAATATGCTCTCTGATTCTAATTTTGAGGCAACGTGAGGTCCTTCCTATATATTGTCACCCCCAAGGGCATGTTAACATATATACAACATTCTTACTATTACAGGAGATAAAATAATTAATTTCATGCTCTTTTTTGGTGGTATTCGATATAAATTTTAAAACCTTTTTATGTTTTTCTTTTCTCATTTTACATCCTTTACATTCTCCACAATAATAGAACCCCCGGTTGTTTCAAAAAATTATTTTCCTTATCAATTTCTAAGAAGCTCTTAGTTAATACTTGCTTTAGGTTTTTCGCACCCCTAAATATAATTCTTGGTCAGTATTCAATAAAATCTGTTAGTTTGTCATCCGTTTTTAAGATGTGCCAATTTCTATTGCCAATTTTTCTCAAATCCTGGTTATTCGTACAAAAATTAAAAATGAGTGGTACTTTTTCTCCTTCATTTTGATTTAGATTTTTATTCTTATACTGCATAAGTTGTTTTCTATCAATTTTTTCTTTCATTAAAAACTTCTTCCAAGGGAGCGTCCTTATACCCTTTTTCTCTAAATTGTTCTTTTAGCCTTTCTGCCTGTTGTACAAACTCTTTATTTTCCGTACAATTATTTTTTAAGGGCAGTTGTTATGCGATTACAGGGAGATCCGTCCCCTCAGAATGTACGTCATGATGCTTGGACGGAGATAGCGCCATGATGTCATAGAACAGAGATGGAAGCCGCCAAAGTAAACACTGGAAAGAATGATTCAATTACGGTGCCGGAAGTGGGAGCGTGAGCGTCATGATGTCATGACGTAACGGTAAAAGGCGCCAATACCTGGGATATTTAAACAGTTAGAAGAAAAGGTGAAGGAGGAACTTTTGATAAAGGCATCGCCGAAACGCGTCAAGTTCAATCTATAGCACAACTGGACTTTACAGAGGTTTATATTTTATTATACTTATTTTTATTAGCTACCTTTTAGTGTGTCAATAAAATTGTTTGCATGATATTCTGCATCCTGGAATATTATTAAGCAACAAGCAACTGGAATGAGCACAGAAGGAAGACAGCTTGGAACCTGACATCCACGTGCCTTCACCTGATTTGATTCTAGTCTGAGCCAGCTTTTATTAAATGGCTCATGACCATGTGAGTGTAACCTTTGAAAATGTTAAGTTACACAGCAATCCCTACGTTATTACCCTATGTTGTGGCTCTCCCTGTGTTAATTTTACAAGATTGGTTTAAAGGGCTCATATTCCATTGATCAAATTGTGAATTACGGATTGGCCTAAATATTGTTTACCAGTATTCAACGTGTGCATATATAAGGGTAATGTGCAATATTAATTAGAGTGCTCTCACCACCAACTCTATATATTAATAAATTACAACAACAATAAGTTATATATTTATAGCTTTTACGTACTAGTTTTTTCACAATTTGCGTAACTGTCATTTATTAATGAAATGTAATTTTAAGTTGTCTATTTCACTTGGCTGTTTAAATCATTTTAGAGATTGTCTGACGTAACATTTTTAATGTCACTCGTAATATCACTGCGATTCGCTTTTTAGTGAATAAACCCTTTGATCTAAAAAGGGATTTGTTTAAGAGAAATGTAATTCAAGTACAGGTTTTGGCACTACAGTGGCAGATGGCATTTAATCTTGATGAATGCAATGTTTTTGCGTTTTGGGACAATCAACACACAAACAATTCACACCCCAAATGGTACTGAGTTAGAAACACGATAAGGACTTGGGAATCGTTATAGGCAACAGAATAAACAGCAGCGTGCAATGTCAGCAGCTGCTAAGGCCAGTATGGTATTGTCAGCATAAAAAAAGGTTCTAATTCCCTCAAATGATCCCTTTGCCTCATTATGAATACAAATATTTGGGAAAGTTTGACACAGCTGACCAGATTACATATTTCTTTTATTTTCTAAGTGAAAAGAAGTTAACACGACCTCTGCAGAACAAATGAAAACTCAACACAATTCTGCAATTTATAAAGCAGAGTTAATATTTACTGAATTTCACTGATAGAAAAAATAAAACTGAAAATGGCCATGAGTTAAAGTTTATGCACCCTTTAGCCCACCCTATAGTGATTTTTTTTTTTTTAAGGTTTCAGAACACGATAACCCCTGGCAAAGCTCCAACAGCAGGGGCTCATCATAGAGAAGGAAGACCCAGCGGAGGTGGAGATAGAAAGCTTCCGTACTCCCTTTCTAGAAGCGAATGCATGCAATAGCTTCCTTCCCACGGCTGTATAGATAGATATATATTAAGATAATTGCCCTATGGCCAGGATAGGCAACCTTCAGCACTCCAGATGTTGTGGACTACATCCCCCATAATGCTCTTACACCCATAATGCTGGCAAAGCATCATGGGAGGTGTAGTCCAAAACATCTGGAGTGTCAAAGGTTGCCTATGCCTGCCCTATGGGGACTGGATACCCTAGTAGTCCATCCCCTGTAATCCCTTGATGGCGGCTCTGATAGATGGCGTTACAGGCTGCTTTTTCAACATGAGAAGAAGCCATGTACTGTACTCCTATTCCCTGCCTTCCTACAAGGAAAGAGTATTCATTTATCAAATGTAACACAACTACATTCCATTTCTTGCAGAAAAAGCATGGTTTTAAGTTTCGTGGTGAAGGACAGATGAGCGATATAAGAACATCGGAGTAGCAGAGGTAAATACATGAAATGGTCTTCCAGCCGATATAGTTAAGGCTAACAAGCAAAGAGACACTCAATGTACCCACACAATTGGTGCAATGTGCATTAGCTATGTTTGTTAAACTTATTTGTCTTTTTAAAAGATATCTTATATCTCCATAAACATATTCCTTTCTGGCCCTCTCTCCCAGCAATCTACAGTACAACGCTGACAATTGAACCATTTTGTTGAAACTCCTAATGTTCACAAGTTGGAGTATTTTTATTATTATTATTACTATTATTATTGGCATTTATAGAGATCAACATATTCTGTAATGCTTTATAATACAAGGCAAACTATTACAAATATTATATATTAGGTTGCATATTATTGACTTCTATTTCTATTATTCCTCCTCTATTTTTAAATGTATATATTTATTGTCAATAGTGTTTTACTGTAAAAAACAAACAAACAATATAGGATCAGTACAGAAGTCAGCAAATATTCATGAATGAAATCAGTTATTCGAACATACGCAGATGCAATATATTCTTAGTAAAGTATAGCAAACTTATGCCAATAGTCACCATCACACAATATAGACTACAGATTATAAATTGTCAGTACATGCATGGCATGCGGAGGGGGTGGATAAGTGGGTGAAAAAAAAGATAACAATACACTGTAAGTTTATTTCTTCTTTTATTCTACATATTTACATCAGACATACTTCACTTTAGCCGTTGTACTGTTTGTTACATATTTATCAACACCTGAGAACTCCTTAAGGATCTACTCCAGGGGTCCTCAAACTGTGGCCCTCCAGATGTTGCTGAACTACAACTCCCATGATTCTTTGAATTACATAGATAGCCAGAGAATCATGGGAGTTGTAGTTCAGCAACACCTGGAGGGCCACAGTTTGAGGACCCCTGATCGACTCCCTCATGTTATCACATTCAACTTCTGTTGAACCAGAATAGAGAGACTTTGGTTTGGGTTGTTTGAGCTGCCTTTAACAGTCCACTAAACGTGCTGGAATCCTACCACCACTATATTATTGATTTATTAATTATTTGGAGTGTTCCTTGAGGGTGTCAAAAGAAACCCAATCAAAAACTCCCATAATTGTCATGGGCTATTGCTCCCTCTTTACTTTCATGTTTTTGCAAAATAATAAAAACCTTTTTTGTCCGAGAATATATGTAAACTGTGAGAAAGAATGAAATAAAACAAGAAGAGAGTAGGAAAGAGGAACAGCAATGGAGTGCCTTACCACCCACTGCCTGAGGTAGGGGACATCAGCAGAAAAGCCAATAAATACTCAAGGTCTTGCCGTATGAACCCTTGGATACTATCTATCATCCAGTGACAGCATTTGGTGTTAGTGCACCTACCTTATTGTGCTTTGTTACAAGTTTCCAGTATATTGTGTTGAATGTAATGGACCCCCGATAAGAGGAACTCCAGCCAGTGAAACTATCTACTTCTGTTAGAATCTTGAGGGATCGCAAACTCTTTATTACCCTTACCTTGTCCACTGCCCAGACCAAAGCAGCTAGAGAAGGGACAGAGTCTGTCTTTCCAGCCTGAGTAATTATATGATTAAGCTGCATTTAACAATCTAAGCAAAATAGATTTTTTTTTTTGGTTCCACCCAAAATGTCTTTTGGTATGGTGTAATAGCATCTCTGCAGGATCATAGGCCAGTCCAACGGTGTATCACTGAGCTTTTACATAACGCCATACCATTAATTCCAAAAAGGGTGGTCCCTAGAGCATCTCCACCAAATATGTAGCAGGTCTCCTTTCGCTGTTGACCTCCACCAGCATGCCAGCATGCTAGAAAGTGTTGGGATTTGGTATTGATGTTTTAGAAAATTATGGCCTAAACAGGTCAGCATATGTCAGTCACCTCTATCGTTTGATATCACTCAATATGAGTATTCGCAGACTAGCTTTCCATTTCAAAATGTATATTTTTAAATGACAGAGAAGACAAAGCAAAAGTGTTTAATAACAGCATTGTAAAAACGTTTTGACTTCTTACAGTCGGGGACACCAGGATAATCCTGGAACTATAACCACTACAGCTGTCTGTAGTGGTTATGGTGCTTGGAGTGTTTCTTTAAGCACATGGGTTAGTTACACATGTTACATTTCCAACAGTGAAGTCTGTGACTCAGATCTTAAAACTGCAAGTCGCATGTAAGAAAAAAAAAATTCTGTGCTTCGGTATTACCACTTTAAAAAGTACAATCTAAAATTTTGGTCCTCTAGATCAGTGTTTCTCAACCTTTTACAGAGAAGTACTCCTACAGGTCAAAAAATAAATAAAATAACTAAGTACCCAGTAATTTCTATTGATGTAAATTCCAAACGAAGTGTGGAGACACGGATATTTAAAGGGACACTATAGTCACCTGAACAACTTTAGCTTAATGAAGCAGTTTTGGTGTATAGAACATGCCCCTGCAGCCTCACTGCTCAATTCTCTGCCATTTAGGAGTTAAATCCCTTTGTTTATGAACCATAAAGCATTTTTGTAAGTACATAAATTCTAAAAAAAAAATGAAAGTGTAGGTACACTAAAAACTGAAACGGGGGTGTTAATTAATGAAGACCAGGAAAAGGCAGGAATTTTAAATAACTATTTCTACTCCGTATATATTAAGGAAGAACCCATGGCAATAGATGTGCAAATGATTGCTACTAAAAACTTGCAGAATAATTGTAATTGGTTAACTCAAGACAAGGTGCTGCAGCAACTAAAGAAAGTTAATATAAACAAAGCTCCAGGGCCTGACGGTATCCATCCATGTGTACTTAAGGAACTAAGTGCAGAAATAAGTGAACCTCTGTTTTTAATCATTCAAGATTCTTTTCTTTCAGGAAGTGTTCCGGAGGATTGGAGGAAGGCAGATGTGGTTCCTATATTCAAAAAGGGTTCAAAATCCTTGCCTGGAAATTATAGACCTGTGAGCTTAACTTCTGTGGCTGGTAAAATATTTGAAAGGTTATTAAGGGATAATATTCAAGAATTCCTTGAGAAGAACATGGTTATCAGCAAAAATCAGCATGGTTTTATGAAGCACAGGTCATGTCAAACCAACTTGATTGCGTTCTACGAAGAAGTAAGTAGAAGTATAGATCAGGGTGTTGCCGTGGATGTGATCTATTTGGATTTTGCCAAGGCATTTGATACAGTTCCACACAATAGATTAGTGTTCAAACTCAAGGAAATCGGTCTAGATGAAAATGCTTGTTCTTGGGTAGAACATTGGCTTAAAACAGAGTACAAAGAGTTGTCATTAATGGTAAATTTTCAAGCTGGACAGAGGTGGCAAGTGGTGTCCCTCAGGGGTCTGTTCTGGGCCCCCTTCTATTTAACATGTTTATAAATGATCTTGAAGACCGCATTGAAAGTCATGTTTCAGTGTTTGCAGATGACACCAAACTTTGTAAAACAATACAATGTGAGCAAGATATTACTTTGCTGCAGAGGGATTTAGATAGACTGGGGGACTGGGCACTCAAATGGCAGATTAAATTTAATGTTGAAAAATGCAAATTTATGCACTTCGGCGTAAAGAATACACAAGCAACGTATACCCTTAATGGAAGCGAATTAGGGATAACAACATATGAAAAGGACTTGGGAATTGTTATAGACAACAAACTATGCAACAATGTGCAATGTCAATCAGTAGTGGCCAAGGCCAGTAAGGTATTGTCATGCATGAAAAAGGGCATTCATTCTCGGGACAAGAATATAATTTTGCTTCTTTATAAATCACTGGTAAGACCCCATATTGAATATGCTGTGCAATTTTGGGCACCTGTTCTAAAGAAGGATATTATGGCACTAGAAAAAGTGCAGAGGCGGGCTACAAAATTAATAAAAGGAATGGAACATATCGGCTATGAAGAAAGGTTAACAAATTTAAACCTATTTAGTTTAGAAAAACGTCGCCTGAGAGGGGATATGATAACATTATACAAATATATTCGGGGCCAATACAAACCATTATGTGGAAATCTATTCACAAACCGGACTTTACATAGGACACGAGGCCATGCGTTTAGACTGGAAGAAAGAAGATTTCGTCTAAGGCAAAGGAAAGGTTTTTTTTACTGTAAGAACAATCAGGATGTGGAATTCTCTGCCTGAAGAAGTGGTTTTATCAGAGTCCATACAGATGTTCAAACGGCTACTAGGTGCATACTTGCAAGAACAGAATATTCAAGGATATAATCTTTCAATGTAGGGTAATAACTGCTTGATCCAAGGATAAATCTGACTGCCATTCTGGGGTCAAGAAGGAATTTTTTTCCTAGCTTGTTACAAAATTGTGCTTCAAACTGGGTTTTTTTTGCCTTCTTTTGGATCAACAGCAAAAAACAAATGTGAGGTAGGCTGAACTTGATGGACGCAAGTCTCTTTTCAGCTATGTAACTATGTAACCCTAGTCACACCTCCCTGCATGTGACTTACACAGCCTTCCATAAACACTTCCTGTAAAGAGAGCCCTATTTAGGTTTTCTTTATTGCAAGTTCTGTTTAATTAAGATTTTCTTATCCCCTGCTATGTTAATAGCTTGCTAGACCCTGCAAGAGCCTCCTGTATGTGATTAAAGTTCAATTTAGAGATTGAGATATAATTATTTAAGGTAAATTACATCTGTTTGAAAGTGAAACCAGTTTGTTTTGTTTTTTTTTCATGCAGGCTCTGTCAGTCATAGCCAGGGGAGGTGTGGCTAGGGCTGCATAAACAGAAACAAAGTGATTTAACTCCTAAATGACAGTGAATTGAGCAGTGAAATTGCAGGGGAATGATCTATACACTAAAACTACTTTTTTAGCTAAAGTAATTTAGGTGACTATGGTGTTCCTTTAAGTTAATCCCATGATGGAGAACAAGCCTGATTAAAAAGGTAGTAAAGTATATTTTTAAGAGAATTAGGACATAATGTGAATATTGTGTATGTAAGGAGGAGTGTATGAACTGTTAGTATGAAGTATAAAACTCAGAAACTGAAAATACACACCTAATAGTTACACACAGTAGACACTGACATACACACACTGATTTGACACAAACATTTTTTTTTTTATTATTATTAATATTTTTATTACTATAAAAGTCCACCCAGCCTTTCTACCTTTGAGAGAGCTGGAATGGATGCTTTCCCTGGGGTCCTGTGTGGGTCTTGTGTAATCTCTGTGCTCTTCAAGCGCTGCACCCTCGCGTGCGGATTAGTGATGTCAACGCCTGAGTGACGTTATAACAGAGCTCCTGGCATCACTACTGGGTGCTAAAAGAATGAAGAGTACAGCACCCTTGCTGCCTCCATTCTCCCCCCGCCAGTCACTTCTTGGCGTACCCACTAGGGTAGGCATACCACTGGTTGAGAAAACAAGCATTAGGTTCTGTGCGCTGTACTACGATTTCTATGAACCTGGCATACCTCCCCTGAAATATTACAGTGAACCTTCCATGATATCTTCAACATTTAAATTACCAGCTAAAACATGCGCAGTAAAAAGCACTAGGACAAAAACAATTCAAAACTGGACATGAAGTATACGTTTAGTGGCCAAATAATTTGTTTCTGATGTTAGTAGCGATCACAGAGGGGGAATACTGCAGTCGGTGGTTCCTCTGTCAAGTCTCAATGAACTGAAGCCAAGAACTGTTCACAAATATCCTTGATAACAATTATATTTTGGCATTTGAATAGCACCAAGATATTCTGCAGCACTTTTTAATTTTAATGTGGGGACGCAATCATTCAGGTAATGGAGCAGAGGAATATGTATAAATCATTGCATCATATGCATTTTCCATTGTATAGAAAAAAATAAAAAAATAAACTAATTTTGTAGGGAAGAGAACAAACAGACATCTGTCTGAACCTTTACTGTGTTCGATATTCTGTAGACTGTAAGGGCAAATATCCTCCCTATTGGTCATTGATGATTAAACTTGACCTCATAGTTTAAAAAAAAAAAAAAAAGGGGGCAAAGGGGGTACATGTCATGTCAAATAATAATGACAGAGATATACAGTGGATATTTGTGTGCCAAAATTTAACCTAAACCTTGTGTTGATGCCTTAAAGGACCACTATAGTGCCAGGAAAACATACTCGTTTTCCTGGCACTATAGTGCCCTGAGGGTGCCCCCACCCTCAGGGTCCCCCTCCCGCCGGGCTCTGGGGAGAGGAAGGGGTTAAACACTTACCTTTCTCCAGCGCCGGGTGGGGAGCTTTCCTCCTCCTCCTCCTCCTCCTCCTCCTCTTCCTCCTAGCGACGTCATCGGCTGAATGCGCATGCGCGGCAGGAGCCGCGCACACATTCAGCCAGTCTCATTGGAAAGCATTCATAATGCTTTCCTATGGACGCTGGCATCTTCTCACTGTGATTTTCACAGTGAGAAGCAAGCAAGCGCCTCTAGCGGCTGTCAATGAGACAGCCACTAGAGGCTTTAGAGGCTGGATTAACCCTCAGAATAAACATAGCAGTTAAAAAATGGGTTAATCCTATCTGGACCTGGCACCCAGACCACTTAATTAAGCTGAAGTGGTCTGGGTGCCTATAGTGATCCTTTAAGGACTTATTCATACCGAATAACGTCCAACCCTCCCAATTACAGTGAATAACCGCTGAACTACCAAAACTACCCATGCAATAACAGGAAATTAATTTCTGTCATTGATTTCTGGAGAAAGATGGAGTGGGTTGTAAATAGTCTGCTTTTGGGAAATGTACAAAATTGCAACCCATTGATTGATTAATGCATGATTCATTGCTTTGCATTTAACAGAAATTCTTCATTGATGCCATCAAATCCTGGATATTTAGTTGCGATTTGTAATATCTGGATGCTGCAAAGATAAACCATATTAAATAAGTTCATCTCTTACAAAAAGTTTTAGAGAACAAAGTTACAAATTTAATAATGCCATCAAAACACTGGGGCTTGTATTAAAGGCTCAAAGTTAGATGCTCTGATATTCTCCAAGACATATTTATATGGATTGCAATTTAACATGATTCTGGTTCTGCCTAGCCCTGAGCCAAGATTAGTGACCTGGATCTAGCTAAAGTGACACAACAGGGGATACATATGGAGAATTCTGGGGAAAGTACTAAATTTCAAGCAACCATCATCACGAACATTCTATTGGTTTCTATGACGACTATACCACTTTTGTATACTTTCCCCAAGGAATCAAGAGAAAAATGTATTAAAAACGGCACGTCATGGCCGCATCCGTTTTAACCCCCCTCCTGACTCCACTACATCTAATTGCCCCCATAGCGACCCCCAAATGCCCCTAGACCCCCCTCCCCATATTACTTTTTTCCCCCAACTTTATTTTGTGCCCGGACCGAGGCTCCGGCATCTTTGTGAGGGAAGATGAAGGCCATGTGGGACACGTCATCTGCCCACACTAGATAGCGCTCTGAAATACCCACGCATACCCAGTTAAACACTTGGGCATTCGCTATTGTCAGAAATTCGTACATGAATTTCTCCTATTCGTTCATTCATTTGAATGAAATTTCATACCGAACTAAAAAAGTAACGAATGTCGTCCTAACACGAATGAACAAACTATGCTCATTCTGTTCAGACGAAATTCTATATGTCTAATTCGAAGTCTATATGACAGGACATTCAGAAATACTGAAAGGAAGCATTGCGAGATCACGGAGGAAAGGGTGAGTATTGTGGGAAAATGTCTTTCACCCACAGGAAGTAGGTAAAAGTTGGTAAAGGGTAGAAAAACAAAACAAAACAAAAAAAAAGGACAAAGTAGTCATTACTTATGTTTTAAAGAAAACTAGATCAGATAGGAAGAAAAGAAGAACAGATCCTGAGAGAGGGAGAGAAAGCGATTGGGGAAAGGTAAGTTTGGCATGACAGTGATGCTTTAAATATGAGGGGAAAGGCTGCTGGCAGTTAGTAGGTGATAATTTGTTGTGCCGATATTTTGAAAGCCTAAAGTACATTTCCTATAATCTTTAACTTGAGTATTTTTCCAGCTCACATACTTAGCTAAGGTTTTGTACAATCCCCTTTCTCAGTTCTTAATTCAGTGACAATAAACCCCTTAACACAGAACTAATAAGTCACAGGGACCAAGGCCCACAGCAGAAAATACTGCACTCCAAGATTAATAGGAGAAAAGATAAATAAATATATATATATATATATATATTTGATAAAACCTGTTCTAGAATAGAAAAACACAAATCGTAATGGGTGTCTAAAAATAATTGCAGATCAGTTTTCAGTTTAATGGCAAAGCTGACGCGAACCTCAGAGTTACTTACCGCGGCCCTCAGAGCCTGGTCTAGATCATCAATAATATCTTCAATGTCTTCCAACCCTATCGAGAGGCGGATCAGAGTGTCGCTAATGTTTAAGGTGGCTCTCATATCCTCTGGTACAGAAGCGTGAGTCATAATTGCTCTGTGCAGGAGTAGAAAACACAGGTCAGATGGAAAGATTATTTTTATTTATTTATTATTTATTTTTTTAACAGAAATAGCGGACAAACGAATAACTCCGCACTCCGTGAGGTTTAATAACTGTGTGTACTAGGTTCACACATACCCACGCAAAGCAAAGGTCAGCTTTTTAGATTTAGTCATGGATCGCTGGAGGCAACCATCAAAACAGTATTTTCACAAAAGGAAAGGGTTTGATCTGAATATAAGTTGGTAGCCGTCTGACTAGTACAATACAGGAGAAAACAAAAAACAACCACAACCATAACCATATTTAAATGGAACAAACAAGGATCCCCTTAAAACTAACAGCTGTTGATTCATTAATCAAGTTTGGCTATCTGCAAATAGGCTTATACATCTGTATATACAATGCATAAAAGGGGGAAAAGAAACAATTTATTCTCTTTCACAGTGTCGCACTAAGCACCATAACAACTGTACATCATTGCATAGAAAAGTCTAAAACCCTGTACCCACTCTGACTGCAGCTTACATATTTTAATAGCAGTGATGGAGGAGGGGGGTAACATTGTTATGACTATAAGACAGTTTTCACTTCATCCTTATGGGGGGTTGAGGGGTATTACATTTTTCATATTGTTAAATTAATATCTATATAATGAATTTAAAAAAATAAGTGGTCATGCTTTTGCTATTGTGTCAGTTTGATGTTATGGCATATTCTCTAACGGAATTATTGGGGAAACCACTTACATCAGCAGAGTCCCTCAAGCTCTTTAAAAGGACATAACAGAATAGCAGTTCTGGTTAAAAGGGTACACTGTTTGTACATGTTTTGGTAGGATTCCAGTCCGTTGGTGGCTCAGAACCTCTGTGGTTTAGGGGTATCTGGGTATACCCCTACCAGGTGACATTGATCAATGTTGGTGTGTTACATGTTATGTTATATGATTGTTATATATTGGAAATGTATTATGTGGTGGGTCATTACCTTGATATAAATATGGGAAATATGATACGAGATTGGGGGGTGGCAGGTAATGATATAGATAGATAGATAGATATATATATCTATATATAGTTATCTTTATCACCATTAAAGCTGTTGACAATTTGACCCATAACCCTGAGTGTCAGTGTCTTATTGGGTGGGTTGGGTTCAAGTCATATATCCCTCCCCCTGCCCATATGGTGACTATACACCTGTCATGTAGAATACAATGGCACATATACATGATTGCACAACTTCAACTGACAATAAAAATGTGTCTTGTGCAAGTATTGTACATGAAGGAATGTATCATTTGCCTATTCTGATCCACATCAAAGGGTGACTCAGAACTGCTCCCTGATCCTCACTGATCGAAGCATCAAAGCAGTGGTGGAATGCTAACCTAACGTCATCTTAACTATTTAACCAGGATGTATTTCCTTAACTTTATCTAGTTTTCAAGCACTCCATAGTTTATGAAATGAGTTTGCATGGCACATAAGGTTGTCAACTTAAATGGTCAAGATCAGGTACGTGTCTTCCACGAGGCAAACAAGGCATCTGCCTTGGGCGGCACAAAGCCGCCCCCAAACGCCCAGGTAGATCCCTTGCTTGCCTCGTATCCTGGGGGGCACAAGAGCTGGCTGGCTACCTTTGAGCCCTTCCGAGGCAGACAGCAGCTCACGAAAGAGCATACTCACCTGAGCTCTTCCTGCTCAACAAAGCCGGGAGCCGGCTCCCGGCATCACTAAGCGGCGCGCGAAGGAGCTGGGCAGGAAGATTAAAGCTCCCTCGCCGCCAACTCCACCTGTCAGCCCCCCTGCCTGCCAGACCAGCAGCCACACAGGACAGGTAAGGAATCCAACTCCAGCTCTGCCAGGGAGGCTTGGTGGATTTAAAATTAAATTTAAGAAATTATTCATTTGTGAGTGTTGGGAGAAATGTGTATATGTCTGTAAGTGAATAAGTGAATGTGTGTGTGTATGTGTGTGTGTGTGTGTGTGTATGTCTGTAAGTGTGTATGTGTCTATGTGAGTGAATGTGTGTGTCAGTCAGTGAGTGCGTGCGTCTATCAATGAGTGTCCAAGTAATAGTGTGTCTGTCATTGTTTGTCAGTGTATATGAGAGTGTGCGTCTGTCAGTCAGTGTGTGCATCTGTCAGTGAGTGTCCAAGTCATAGTGTGTGTTTATGTCAATGTTTGTCAGTGTATAGGAGAGTGTGTCTGTCAATAAATGTGTATGCATCTCAGTGAGTGTGTTAGTCTGTCAGTGAGTGTCCAAGTCATAGTGTGTGTTTATGTCAATGTTTGTCAGTGTATAGGAGAGTGTGTGTCTGTCAATAAATGTGTATGCATCTCAGTGAGTGTCCAAGTAATAGTGTGTGTGTGTGTATATATGTCATTGTCAGTGCATATGAGAGTGTGTGTCAGTCAATGAGTGTATGCGTCTGTCAGTGAGTGAGTGTCTGTCAGTCAAAGTGCGGCCTTGACAGGAAGGGGTGGGGAAAATTTAAATTAGAGGGCAGGAGAGGGGGCCCAAGCACCGTCCTGCCTAGGGCAGCACAAATCCTAAATACACCACTGGTAAAGATGGGATGATCCTTTGATCTCCCTAGATGGCTCAGAATTCCCCAGGGCCTAGAGCACAAGGGAGCATTTAGTCCAGACCCAGCAGGTGCAGACACCACGGGGGACTCAATCACAATCCGGTACTTCTCAATGATTCAGATTGCCAAGCAGTTTACAGACTAAAGTTAGGCAGATGAGGTCACCACAGAGAGCCCCACCACGCAAACAAATACTACAAGAAAAACACATGCACACAAAACCTCAGGCAGTCCACACAATAGCCAGCCCACATACACATGCAAGAGAACAGACATTCCGCAAATCACATTTACACACAAAACATACTTCACACATTAGGCAGCCCACATACACACAAGTAATGTTATGGCGCTGGTTCAATTAATGATAAATATATAATAAGCAGCACTATATACAGTGAACAAACTCAATCACATGTGACCATATAAAAATAAATACATAAAGTGCGCTGTGCCTTTAAGACCACCAAATATTGAAATAAAGTGAGAATAATGTGTGTAATATTATATAACACAGAAAGTGATCAAGTGCATACGTGCAAAATCCCACTTAAAAATGTGTGCAAATATTCTGAAAAAATAGTGAAATTTGAAACCACACAAAAATACTTAGTTTATTTCCCACTTTGGAATATACCTTTGATCTTGTATATCAGTATTCCAATTTAAATCTCAAAAAAAGGGGGAAATACACAATCATAGGACAGTATGTTTGATAAATAAATGTATAGAATATGGAGAAAAAAAACACTCACAAGGGTAGAGCAATTTAGCCTGCTCTAAACTTAGATGGCATCTTGTGCAACATATGCAAACTGGAAGCTGTGGTGACAGTAGAAATCTTTATTGGTATTCACAGAATAAAAACAGCTTTCCAGGCTGTAAAGTCCCTTCTTGTAATGTTTCCTCCGTGTAGTAATGAGCTTTTAGGCTCCTCTAGTCCTGCGCCGGCATTTTACAGGACACTGAGTGCCAAATGCAGTCTCTCTCAGTCTACACTTCCGGGAGGCAGGGCTTGCGGCCGTTGAGCATAATGACGTGATTACGTCACAACGTGATGACGCGTTTCACCGATATAGTCGGCTTCATCAGATCTCACACACAAATACTATGAATACACACACAAATACTATGAATAGTCACACACATGCATGGTACCACAGACAGGCAAACACATACATAACACAACAAGCAACCTACACACACACACACACACACACACACACACAACCTGACAATGAGCTCACACAACACTATACACAGCCTGCTATATATATCCATATTTTCTCTCACACACAGCCTCACAAACCATCCACAACACAAGCAAAAACCCTCAACATACATAAATGTTAATATAATAAAAATAAAAAAAACTTTCTAAAAGAACTTCAAAGTTTTGATTTTCACAAAGTTTTGATTTTCACAAAGCTATCAAAGGATACGTAACTCTAGACCCTGACAGGTCCTAAAACTGTAACAATCAGGTATGGACAGATAGAGAGACATTAAAGGACCACTATAGGCACCTAGACCACTTCAGCTCAATGAAGTGGTCTGGGTGCAAGGTCCCTCTAGGGTTAACCCTGCAGCTGTAAACATAGCAGTTTCAGAGAAACTGCTCTGTTTACATATGGGTTAATCCAGCCTTTAGTGGCTGTCTCATTGACAGCCGCTAGAGGCTCTTCTCACTGTGATTTTCACAGTGAGAAGACGCTGCCGTCCATAGGAAAGCATTGAGAATGCTTTCCTATGGACTGATTGAATGCGCGCGGCTCTTGCCACGCATGCGCATTCAGAAGATGACGTTGGAAGAGGGAGGAGAGTCCCCCAGCGCCAAGGGAGCCCGGCGCTGGAGAAAAGCAAGTATTTAACCCCTTCCTCCCCCTAGAGCCTGGCAGGAGAGGGACCTAAAGACCCTATAGAGCCAGGAAAACGAGTTTGTTTTCCTGGCACTATAGTGGTCCTTTAAGCACTAACCACAGAACCACCTCTCTGGCTTTCTTTTATAGAGCATATAATTACTTACGGGTGTTCAGCCAAACTTTCGTATCCTCCAAGGCTTTCAGCCAACACAAAAAGCTGTGAAAATTAAGATAAAACTTTTCGTGAGATGATGCTTGTAAATATAGATCTAGTTACATTCTAAAAGGGTTATGTCTACATTGTCTTATTACAATTGGTCAACTTACTATACAACTCCATACAATTTGTATATGTATATAAATTCTTAACCTATATAGAGAGATATAGTTTAGAGTATATACATATATATCAATTTTAATAATAATATTTAATTTTTGCTTCAATAAAACACTTGATACTGTAAATGAGCACTGTAATTGCTCTGATTGCTCATTTGTTTAAAAACATTTTTAAATAGGTTTTCAAACTGGCTGTCACCTCTACAGGGGAAATAAAAACACTCCTACTTCCAAATCTCTTTACTAGAGTCAATTTAAAATATTATCATGTTCACAATATAGTTTGTTTAAACTACTTGAATAAAAGGCCTTGCACATTTTGACTTTTAGAGAATAGATCCTACTGACTCTAAACTCTGATGCAGTGGCAGGTTTATAGCTGTTTAAAGTCACGTCATATTTCCCCAAGTAGAATTTATGAATTTTATCCAGAGCTGCCATAAATGGGAGGTTATTTGAAACAGGCCATATTGGTGTCACTAAGAGAGTTAGGTAGGAGGCAGAGTAAAGAGAATGTTATACCTTTAGGGTCTTGAGGAATATCTTGGCATGCTCAAGGTCTCCCTTTATGTAAAATGTAATCATCCCTGGTACTCCGGTGCATTGGCGCCTGGTCAGCTCATACTGAGGATGTGTTGGGAGCCCTGTATAAGAGAAAACAGCAAATGTCAAAATGATGCCTCACTGGGTATACATCTACTTAAGATTATAAAAACGAGAAAATAACATAATTAAACAACCACACAACACATACAATGGCCCTAAAGAAAGGCAAAAAAATTCATAGGACAGTCTGGTTTAAATAAAGTGTGCATAGATTAATGTGTAGTGTACCTGTAAAAAAGTGCAACATATGTAGACAACTACAAACACATACCCACTGGTTGGGACAGGCACGGTAAATGCAAGGTATCATGGGTGTCACAATGATTTACATAGTATGCCAAGCTATGCCTTTACAGTGTCTTGCATCTACTATAATATATATTATATATATTTATTTAAAACATTTTTTTAAACTGTTCTGTCTCTTTAAAATGACTTTGATCTTTATTTAACATTGCTTGATACATTTTCTAAATGGTGTAAGGTTTTTTGGTAAGCTTTTAAAATAAATTTAAAAAAAAAAACTTATATAAAAAAAAAAAAAAACATCTATAAACAATATATCAATAGATTAAAAATGTCAAAACTATAATATTTTTCATAATAAATCATTTAAAAAGTTTATCCAACAATATTCAATTGAAGCCTAAATTACAGCGTTGTGAAACATACTGCGGTGACTAGTCCTTTTAACGCCTTAAGGACACATGACATGTGTGACTTGTCATGATTCCCTTTTATTCCAGAAGTTTGGTCCTTAAGGGGTTAAAGAACCACTGTGTTATACTATTTTGGAATAAGAATGCCATCTAGTGTTAGGACATGGATGTAAATGGAAGAAGAAGATGCTGTGAATATTATGTAGTCAAGTCAATACTAATCTAGGAGTTTAGTGTGTTTTATCTGTACGGTCTTATTACAGACCATTATAGGACATCCAATTCAGTCATTCAAACTAATCTAGCTGGTTGAACCCATATACAATATAGGAGCAACAGCAGAGGTTGTGTGCATTGTCATGAGAGGGTCAGTATGCTCATCAGTAGGTCATCATTGGTAAACATTGTCCAGGGGCAACATTAGTGTCAGATGAGGAACAGTACATGGAAAAGAGAGCTGGTCAGAGGAGGGCAGCCATTGACCTGTCCTGCTCTGCTGTTACTGGTGGTTTGTACTACCATCTATTCTGTGTTATTTTAACAAAATATAACTATCTGGAAAAGAGCAGAGTTGCTGTGATTCCAACGGCAAGGACGTGTATCTACCCTGATTCTTTGTATCAGGATTCCTGACTATAGCAATTAAAACACAACGCAGAGTGGAAGCTGATAGAGAGAGCGGCAGGACAGAGGCTGAGAGGGAGAAGCAGAGACCGTCATTTGCCATCAGTAATCAGTTAGAAGAAAACAAAATTGCTACAATACATGGGCCATCTAAAGATCCAGGTTTTTGTCAAACCGTTCTAAAGTGGTGTGACACAAAGAACGGGGACAGCAACCAAAAATATTTTTTTTGTACCACTACAATAAGTTGTAGTTAATAGTTACAGAGCTAGAAGTGCTCTTTAAGGGAAGAGTTTAGTAGAAATTAAGTTTTCATATCTTTAGCCCGGTTTGTGGACGTTAACATACCTGGAAATATTACTTTCTCTACACGAGGATCTTTTTCTAGAAACCTTGCTGCTTCAAGTGCATTTTTGAAATGCTGCTTCATCCTTAGATGCAAGGTCTTCAGACCACGGTTCAGGAGGTAACAGTCAAAGGGGGATGGAATTGCTCCCAGGGCTATAAAATATAAGATTCTGGTTAAAGGTAATTTATTTACAAAAGGCCAAAAAAGGTCACACTCGTTGGTGTCTACTTTCGAAGTATGCCCTGGAGCACAAACAATGCAATTTGGTTACAGAGCTACTCATTTAAAACATATAGCAATACTATTGTTACATTTTAGTAGGTATGGTACAAATGCAAGAAGGTGTTTTTTGTGTGAGTGTTTTTATTTTAGAAGTTGAAAGCTGCATGTCCCATTTTTGCAATACAGAATAGTGCTGGAACAGAAACAAGGGTTGCTGATTGTATTGAAGATGCCACTGTCAAATGGGCACAGTCAAAAAAACAAATTTATTAAAACAACGCTCGCTCACCATTTTGAAGGAATTTCAGTCGTTCGTATAGCTTGTCGCAATTAACAGAAACTAAACCCATAACGACATCAGTGTGACCTAAAAATATTTAAAATAATTATTTTTCCACTTTACAAAATATACCATTTAGAAAAGGACAAACAAAACAGTGTTGACTGACAGAACACATCTAAAAATGGGTTACAGAATATTTATAAAAATTATAAGCTTGTATGAATAGGGCTCTCCACACCTCGTTTCTATTCTATTTGTTTGACAAAATAACACATTGTAAAATTCTCTCTCTCGCCTCACCTGCCTGACAGGTTTGGTGCTTTAATCGTTTTCCAATACCCCAGGAGTATATAGGTAATCAGAGGTAAACAAACTTGCACCACGACAGGTGCCAAGCGGACTCCAAAATCCAAATGCATAGACTCTTCAAGGATAAAACTCCGGCTTTATTTGTACTTTGTAAAAGCATTCCATGACATAGGAGGTTAAGACGAGGCTAATTCTGTCAATAGATTGTATCCACAAGACTACATAGTTTAATACACTTTTTTCTTTTATGGGAAGTTTTACGAAGTACAATTAAAGAAGGAGTTGTAGGCTTGAAGAGTCTACATTCCGGAGCATTTGGGGTGATTTTAAATTTGTTTTGCGCGGTTCTTGAGCAGCTCAGCAACATATATGTCAACAAATTATAAAACAAAAAATTAAAACAAATAAGATAAAGTGACCATTCTTCTGGATTCAAAAGGTGCAAAATGGATATAGGGGTTTGCAGAGATAGATATATATATATATATATATATATATATATATATATATATATATATCAGCCTGAATAGGTTACATCTCACACTATCGGAGATATTTACCAAAGTGAGGCTTCAAAGCATATGGAACTTAGACAATATTTCTAGGTCAGCTATTTATTACCTTGAATTTACTACGCACTTCAGTGAATAACCCACTATGAGGACCATAACTACAGCAAAGCTACAACTCCCAAAAACCAAAGTGATAACAATGTATAGCAATAATTATAAAAAAAATACATATATATTTTTTAATATACTGCAGCTTGGGAGGATGTTTATGGAGCTAAATTTATCTACAGAAAAAGGGGGGGGAGAGGGGGAATCCCCAGCATAATTGTAGTTGACTTGCATCTTACCGTTCATATATTTGGTTGCAGAGTACATGCAAATGTCAGCCCCCAAGGACAAGGGACGCTAAAAGGAAGAATAATAACGAATAACTTTAGGAGTATTCACTAGAAAACAATCCTAAAAATGATTCTATTCTTTCAAACTTGGAAAAGTATATACATTTTATACAACATATCCAAAGTTTTTGGTAAACGGACGTTCCCAGCCGCAGTCTCTGTGCATTGTGTTACTGGCGTTCTAAAAATTCTAACTAATTTTTTATTTTTTATACCAGACAAAAAAAAAAAAAAAAAAATCTGAAGTACATGATTAATTATTAAAAAAAAATATGATGGCAAATATATTCTCCTACACTGAGTCTCCATAACATTCTTATGCCTCTTGTATAAGTGTTTTCCCATGTACAAACTACGTGCAAAGGCTGGTCAATATAAATGCTTTGCTTACCTGGAAATACGCAGACATGAAAGTGTTATCAACCGCCAAGATAACATCCTTATGTTTGTGAACAATATCCGCACAGCCCTGGATATCAATAACCGTTAACGTGGGGTTGGTAGGAGTCTCAATCCACACCAGCTAGAATATAGAAAAATGTATAACTTGTTGTTGGATTCATAAAAACAACAAAACAAATAGATTGGCTAATCTCACCTCTCCATAGTGGAGCATCAGAAAAGATTTTCATTATTTGGTTTTAAGAGTAGAGTACATCCCACACATTTATCAGTATATTTACATTATTGGTTTTTTTTTTGCTAATGCCTCTGGATGGCTATTCCACACATCTACAACATTTTCTGTAGAGTACCATTCTAACCAGACTGACAAATTAAGCACAAATAGAAATAAAATGACAATATACAATTTAAACCATAGTGACCACTAAACTCAGAAGTGCAGCAAATTATAGCTGAAAAGAGACCTGCGTCCATCAAGTTCAGCCTTCCTCACATTTGTTTTTTGCTGTTGATCCAAAAGAAGGCAAAAAACCTAGTCTGAAGCGCTTCCAATTTTGCATCAAGCTAGGAAAAAAAATTCCTTCTTGACCGCAGAATGGCCCTAAATTAATTTGGGGTTTTTTTTGGTTTTTTTATAATCCATCAAATCATTTTCTTACTTTACCTTGGTATCAGATGTAATCGCTGCTTCCAGACATTTTAGATCCGAGCAATCAGCAAAAGCTATTTTTAAACCCATTTCGGAGGCGATCTTATTAAAATATCGATTTGTACCTGTAGGAAAAAAAATAAAAAATAAAATCTACGTATTCAGCTATAATTTTATGACTGCATTATCAAGAGGATTATCACCCCTGTGCAAAGGTTTACGTAGCAGCAACAGTATCTGATAATAAGGAATTTATTTCTCAAAAATATTCTTTCTATAATAAAATATTCCTTTACCTCCATACACATCACTTGTACAGATTATCTGATCCCCGGATTTCAGCAGATGAGCAACATTCAATGTTGCAGCCAGGCCAGATGCATAGGCCAAGCCTGTAGAAAGTAAAAACAAACAAACAAAAATTAAAAAATAAACTATTAGGCAAGCTTAATACAAACTCATCAATGCTGTCACCATTTAACCAGGAATGTCAATATGTTCCATTGCACACTAATGTACAGAATATCAAAGGGTTACTACAAGAACCATGACCATTTTAGTGATATGAAGTGGTCATGGTGCCTGGGGTTTGTTTGTGCAGCTTTCGACTGTGAAATGCTGCACACACAGAGCTCTGCTACTGAGATGCAACTTCACCTCTAGCAGTGTCACTGGGGTGTCATTAGCCACCCTGGGCTGGCTAATGTCAATTCTGTGCATATTTATATGCACAGAACGTCATTCATTGGCTGAGAGGGGTCAGCTGATGCTCTCAACCAATGGATGGGAGGCAAGATCAACACCCTGCTTCTGCGGCTCTGCAAATTACGCTGGGGCTCAACGGCGCCAGGGTACTCCTGGCATAACCACTACAGAGGGCTGCAGGGATTATGAAGCTCGGCGTAACCCTTTAATGTACAGCAATGAACCAAAGGCAACCTACAGTATTTGGCTCCATCCAAGGCAGCCACGGCTTTTTCCAGGCAATTTCTGGTGGGATTTCCACTGCGGCTATATTCATATCCCTAGTACGAAAAAAAAACAAAACGTAAACAATATTTTCAGAATCTTGGAATTTCAAAATGTTTTATTGCAGTTTAAAAAAATCAAACATACATTCCTTTACTATTCAAGAATGTTTTTTTAAATTTTTTAAATTATTTTTTTTTAAACGCTGTCATTATTAATGTCCTGTTATCCTGCTGGTATCTGGATCATGGATTTTCAAGCCGGGGGGCAGATCAGTCCAAAACAAGTTTACAGTCTCAGCAAGGAATATTCCCACGTTATGCAGCCAATATAAAACCACGCATGATTTGGTGTGATTCGTCACGTGATAACTGGGATTTATTAACCACGATCTGGGATTTGGAGACCTGACAAGAATTACAGATTTTTGACCAAAAAAAAAGCCAGGCTGGAATAAAATGCAGCGTTCTAATTTTTTTTGCTAATTCAGTGACTTTGAATTAAAAATTATATTTCTATTGTCAATACTCTATAGTTCCTTGTTTAGCAAATAACTCAGGGATATAATACAATGTTAAACTTATTTGTTTATGAATAATTGTATTATTGACATTAGTTTTATGTAAAAGTATATAAAGCAATATTTCCATATTCTTAAACATAGTAGTTTACAACCAGGTCACCAAACTACAAAAAAACTTAGGATTCAATAGCCCAGTTGGGGAATTTTCCTAGAGAGAGAATATTTATTTATTTTTAAGACACAACCCATGACTACCAGGTTGTTCCAAAACCAATATGTAACTTCTCCAAAAAAAAAAAAAAAAAAAACCATGTACTTTATCTCTGAAGGGAAGAGGGGAACAAAAAAAACACACACAAAAACTAAACTTGAGTATCCTAGTATCCTGAGATTCCCCTAGGCTGGCTATGTGTGATGGTGTTTGCAGTCCACAACAGCTGGATGCAAATTTTAAAAAAAAAATCCCTTTAACCGCTTAAGGACCAAACTTCTGGAATAAAAGGGAATCATGACATGTCACACATGTCATGTGTCCTTAAGGGGTTAAATAAACATATAATTAATTTATTTGCTAGGAGATGATTGTACCAAGAGATGAGCTGTGCAATCTTAAAAAGATAAAGATGAATTGTTACAGGTTATTAAGAAGTTAGTGCAGGTAAATGATTGATTTGAAATCTTGGGTCCAGCAGTATATATGTAATAAATGCACACAGAGCAGCCAGAAATGTGTAACATCTATTCAAATGGCCAGGCTTTCTGTGCCAAAAAATAGTCCCCTTTGATTTCTCTCAATTACTGAGTCTCCTGATTTATCTCAGTTATTATCTGGTTTATCACAATTTTCTGCTGAGCCCTAATTTTCTTTCTTTTTTTATTAAAGGGCGATACAATGTATTTTCCCATAAAAGCAATGATTCATGGCTGTAGCAGTTCTGGATTTACAGATGCTTGGTCCCAAGTCCCTCACTACAAGCTGTCACTCACTAGGCAGGGAGACTGCACACTTACAATGACTAAGCATTTGTATTGAGCAGGTTCCACATGCAATATTGCATCAGATGCTGCTTTGTGAATGAGCCCCTCTATGTTGGGAGGGACACAGACCAGTGCAGATTGATGTGGAACCTACTGGGATTTCCCATTGTCCTCACTCCCCCCTTTTCCAAGTTTCCACCACCACCACCATCATCATTATGCCAGTATATCCGCAAAAACCTGCTGCTGCAGAACATCTTGTGTTTGTACCTGTGTGTCTCCAGGAGGTTCTACAGCAGCTGATTTGTGGAATACCAGCTCTTACCATATAATACATCTGGCTGAGAGTGATAGAAGTAGGAATGAAAGTAAGACGGGGCCACATTTGGCTGAGAATTATAGGAGAAGGAGTGAAAGTAAGGCTGGGAGCTAGCTGAGAATGATGGTAGTAGTAGTAAAAGTAAGGTTGCTGGGATACATTTGGCCGAGAATGATGGAAGTAGAAGTGAAAGTGAGGTTTGGTTTCAACTGGCTGAGAATGATGGGAATAGGAGTGAACGTGAGGTTTGGTTTCATCTGGCAGAGAATGATGGGAGTAGGAGTGATACCCACAAGAGCCCAGGGTAGTGATATCCCAGCTCTGCCCCTCTTACCGTGTACTCCCCAGGGGCATTCTGTTTGAAGGTGGTAGATAAGGAGATGGGGGGAACCACTGCCATGGAGGACCACTGCTCAGGCTCCTGCCCTGTGTGGATGGCCTGGGTGGCAAAGTGCTGGTAAGCCGCCATGTAGCCCTCAGAGTGGCATTGTCTGTCCGGCGAGGTCTCCATGCTGCTCTGATCCAGCTGTCACTGTGTAAGAGGGTGAGTGAGTGCAAGCGGCCACCCGGCGGAGGAGGTAATCTATTGGCTGAGCTTGGGGGCGTCGGCTGGAAACAGAGCCAGGAAAGGACGGAAGATGACCTGCCCCCCAGCAGGGAGGGGACACATGGAGACCAGGCCCTATCAGGGAAGGGCCACATGGAGACCAGGCCCTATCAGGGAAGGGCCACGTGGAGATCAGGCTTCCAGGAAGGAGGGGCCCCAGGGTGATCATGCCCTACCTGGGAGGGGCCACATAGAGTTCAGGCCCCCAGGAAGAGGGGTCCCCTAAAAGATCCAGCCCCCAGGAGGGAGAGGAACAAGTCCGATTGCCCCCTAGATCACACCTCCTGCTTTTCAGTTCACAATAAAACAGCATGTTCTCCCCAGAATGATGGGATGTGTGCTGCATATTGCTCTCCAGTCTTATAACAAAATGTTACCTTGTAGCGAGTGTGAACACAGCATGAATAAATATACTGTATAACGGAAATTGCAACATTTGTCATCCTTGTGAACAGCAAAACAGGGGACTTGGGTAACTTTTACCAGTTCAGCAATTTTGTATCTAGATTTTAGAATTCTTCACCACAATTAGCTGTTAAAGAATACACAGTATTCATAGAGCTTTAAGATATTATTTTGATTCTGAAAGGACTCCTGAGGGGTGACGAGATATTTAAAGGGACTCTCCAAACACCATAACCACTACAGCCCAACAACATCCCACAGTAAGGAGTCAAATCATTTTGAGATGGTTTGACGCAAACCCGGGACCCCCAGAACAATATAACAAAGGCAGAAGTTCATCTTCCTTCCCCAACAGATAAATCAATTTCACCTTGATGCCAAAGTGAGCGTCTTATTCGAAAGCAGACAGCTTCCTGTTCACACCGCTTTTTATTCAGATTTCCTGTTCACCCAGATTATTTTTCTTGAAATTGATACTAAACAGCAGTCGGAAAATTTCCACAAAGTTCAATCTGGCTTGAGACACATTATTTTGGTCTTAATACCTGGCACCTCAACATCCATTCAATTCAAAGGGGAATATGTAACCAAGCTTTTCCCCTATGAAAGCCATCTTGACTCACGCATATTTGGTTTGTTTTCTACTAACTGGGCATCCCTCTTTATGAAAAAGCTCAATCTACCTTGAGCCAATTGATATTGATAACATAATGTGGCATCAAACCTGACACCCTAACATCCATGCATTTCAATGGGAAATTGAAGATTATACCCAGCCCATGGTGCTGCTGTCCTGTAGCCACTGATGGATAGAGCAGCAGTTTTGTGCCAGGGGACCACAATTGGCTTGCCCAGAAGCTACTTGATCCAACCTGAAGGAGGGCCCACCGGTCACAGCCTCCTTCATAACTTAGCGACAGTCCAGTGCGCCTTACCTGATTTAGGCAGTCCAGCGCCAGCTCGAGTGCTTCACAGAGGACGTGGATGTGAGCGTCCGGCCTGCCGGGCTATCAAGATGGCCACTGGACAGCTCCTAGTGACACCGGGAGTCACACAACCATGCCAGATTGCCGTTCTTTAGCTTCTTCACTCTGCATGTCGGCCTGACACCTCCAGGAGGAACAGGGAAGCAGGCCCAAGTGGCGTAGGAACCCTGCTGCCAGGTCTTGCTATTTATTATTATTTATTCATATAATATTTTACCAGGAAAGATACATTGAGATTTCTCTCGTTTTCATGTCTGTCTTGGTTCCACAAAACATTGTATTATTACAATAGGATACAATAAAATACAAAAACAATATTAATACACAACATATACAAAATTTAAATAGAACAATTAGGAAATATAGAATCAACTATGACAGGTGCATTCTGTTTTGAGATATGTAGAGAGTTATATGTCTTCTCCTGGATCTCTCCAAGTTCTGTCTTTGCTGTGTTTTTTGTTTCAAATTTAATATATGGCTTTGGGTGATTCATATCCCGGCTGCATGAAACGTGATTGCTGATGTTTTTTCTAGTTGTCAATGTCAGCATTTCTGGGATGTTGCTGCAGAGGTGGCCGAGGCAGGGGATTAGTATCCGGAGCACTTATGGAGACTTGGTTCCAACATCTGATGTCACTGGTTTGGGATTATATTGCACCACCAACATGGCACACTTGCATGGAGGTTTGGCAGAAATGGTTTTGTGTGTCCGCTTTTGTGATAGACACAGTAGAGCAGGCATAGGCAACCTTCGGCACTGCAGATGTTTTGGACTACACCTCCAATGATGCTTTGCCAGCATTATGGGTGTAAGAGCATTATGGGGGATGTAGTCCACAACATGTGGAGTGCCGAAGGTTGCCTACCCCTGCCGTAGAGTTTTACAAAATACAGTTATTGGAACAGCGCACACAGAAAATGTAAAGAAAATACAGTGTTACATTTTAAAAGGCTACTTAAAATCAATCAAATATGGGCATTAATTAGTTACACCATACGGCCATATTGTGCTAAGCCCACCACTACAGCACAGTACCCCAACATTGTTAATTTTAGCATATGCGATTACATGCTAACTTGCAATACATACATCTTCAACTGCTTTCAGAGACTCCTTAATTTCTGCTTTCCTGTAATCACCCATAGTGGGTGGGTGGGTGGGGTGCTCAGTCCAGTAGGAATCTGGTCTGGATTACACAGAAAAAATGGGAATTGGGGGCACACCCAGAACATGCATGTCTAAGTAGAGGTGCTGCCTTAAAGACCAAAATCTATACAAAATACAGTTTAAAGGAACAGGGCACACACAAAATACGAAAAAAAATACTGTTTTAGATTTTACAAGGCTACTTAAAATCAACTATCTCCGCAAACAAATATGGGGATTCAGTTCCATTATATGGGCATATTGTGCCACCACTACTTCACAATACCACAATATTGCTGGATCCTACACTAATTTTAACATGGGAGATTTACCAGCTGATTTGGAATACTTACAGCTTAAACTGCTGCCATAAAGACCAAATTCTATTAAAAAAAAAATACAAAAATACAAAAAAGGAACAGCGCACACATGCACGCACACACACACACACCAAAAAAAATAAAAAATTACAGTTTTACATTTTCACAGTAGAGTTTTATTCATTTTGTCATTCTTATAGGGCCTGCATTCTCTAGGGAGGTGTTGGTAGCTCTCCGGTATCGCTACGTCTTTTATTTGTTTTGGTGTTTGAGTTGGGAGGATATTTCTAAGGCCTTTTTGTTTAGGCGTATGGTTAGAGGTTGGTCTAGGAAGCTTTGGTTTCCATTGGCGTTCTTCATGGTTTGTTTCGGATGTCACCCCTGGTTTCTATTTCTTCCTACAAAGTTTAACTGTTTCGTGCTGCTTTGTCCGTGGGTTTTTATGGTGCGCTTCAAGTGAGAGAATTTGTGTTGGCTAAGAAGGGCATAGAAATGCCTCTCAGATGTTCGGACGTTTCTGATTGCGTTGGTGGACGGGTGAGATATTACTTTGCCATTCTTGAGTCTTACTTTTATTTTGTAATTTAAAAAAAATATATATATATATATATATATATATATATATATATCTGTGTAATGTGCTGAAAATAAATCTCCACCCTCAAATATCTATTTTAGTTTTAAAAAATTGGGAATTCCAAGTGGATATTTAATTTTAAAAAAGGCCATTCTGTCCTAAAATGTCTAATGTACTTTTACTGTCTGAGAGTCAACACTTAAAGGAATAACCATGACTTATTGTGCACTTTACTAAGAGTTACTTTGAAGGGTAAAATACCTTTGACCCCTTATGGTGTCTGGGTGTTAGTGATTATTGTTATACGGACAGTTAAATATTTAACCTACAGGTGTCTGTTAAGAATTAACCTTTGGCCGGACCTGAGCAATATTAGCCTTTCCACTCATCACGAAAGATAGTTAATACGCCTGCTACTGGGAGCCAATAGGATGTGTAGATTTGGGTGCCAGGAGGTTCACACCCACCAAACGCCTAAGAATACTGTCACTCCGGTAAACTCTAAAACAAGCAAAAAAAACGTTCTCCTACTTTGGAAAACCCTTGACAGTACTTCATGTGTGTTAATATTTGTTTGTTGTTTTTTATATTTCCATTGTATAGCGCTGCAGAATATATATTCGCACAATACAAATAAAATATAATAATCTTAGAACAGTAATGGTTAAGCTTTTGGAATTCAGCTATTGTTAAGGTTGCCACATTTATTATTTATTGTGTGACATGTTTGAATTCTAAAGCCAGAATAACTGCATACCTCCCAATAATCCTGGATACCGGTTCCTGTCCCACGATCCCAGGTTTGTTCCCTTGTGTCTCTAATCTGGTGACACCAAGGAATGGCCATTGAAAGCAATAAATGCTCTAGTGCTGTGCAGAGAAACCTCAGGTCACTGAGGCCATGGCAAGATCCTTCAGCAGGGCTTTGCACATGGTCTGCCCTATGTGGGGTTGGCTGGAGACATACCTCCCATCTGTCCTTATTTTGTCAGGACAGTCCCTATTTCAGGGTCCTGTTGTCTCCAATTTGTTCCATGGTGTCCAGTTTTTGGTGAACTGTCCCCACACTCGCGCAGTGCTCAGGACACTATGACCATGTAGACAGGGAAGAAACACTGCTTGATTGGCAGTCAGCCTGGCGTACATTCACGCAAGGCTGACTATTCTACAGGTGTAACCACACTATTTCTAGGTGGGTTTGTCCCATTGGGCAGTGAAAGTGACTTGATTTGCATCACTGTCCTGCCCCCTTTTACCCTGTCCTGTTTTCATGGGATGCCAATGTTGCAAGGTATGTAGAGAGACTGTCAGTCTGTCAGCTAACATTCCTCCATTTTGTGCAACACACCCACTTTTCAAAGAGGGCTGGCCCCCTCATCAGAGATCCACTGTGGTCTGCCCACTGCTCGTCCTGCATACTTACCTCGTGATTGTGGGAAATATGTAATTGATGTAAAAAAAAAAAAAAAAAACCCTCTAACTCAATTATAGTCAGTTTGGCTTTTTTATCCTGAATTTTGTAATCTGTTTTTCTGTTTACTGCAGTTCTACACTCGGTGAATAAACTCCTTTCACTATCATTAATATTTAGGGGTTTATTCACTAAACTATGAACTGTGGTGAACATACCTATCAACATTTCAAATAGATAAAGAGGGACACTATAATTTTAGGGGTGTGAGTGGGGGTGTGGACAAAGGGTGAGGGGTGAAATGATAGGTGACCTAATAACAATCTATGCAACTAAAATGTAGTTTAGAGCAAGAACAGTGTATCTTATTTACACAGACTGATTTCGAAACACATTTATTGTAGTTTTAAAGACACATTACTGGGAGTAATATTACTGTGGAGCTCTGTTATACTCTAACACAGCGGTTCCCAAACTGTGTGCCGCGGCATATCTTACACATATATTACATACAAACACACCCCTTCATTCAAACTAAAAAAAAATATATAGAAACACACCCATTCACTCAAACACAAATACATCACACAAATGTAAATCTGCATTCAAAAGTGAACATTACATCCGG